CCTCCCCTCACTTCTTTATAACTGCCAATGAAAAACACCCTACCACAGTTAGATCACAGAATGACCAAGCAGATCTGAATGTGTGCACGTGTCCCTTTATCTCATAACATCTGACAGCTCCTGTTTTGATATGAATATGAGTCATACATAGTGTAGTGTTATGGCAGCTTCCTAAAATAGATAAAAGTAGCTGGAAGGAAAGCCCCTTTGCATTCATGACCTTGTTTGAAAGCCCAGCCACAGCAGTGCTTAAGTTTCCATGTATAAAATCTACTTGTCTTAGCTAACAAAACAAAATAATAATTGATTATTGGTGCTATGCTTTAAAATATGCAAAAGTTTTTTTTTCTGTATGCAGCTGTACACGATGTGACCACATGCTGACAGGAAAATTACAGTAAACTAACTGATTGAATTGCATGGAATAGTTATGTGTCAAAGGTCTAATCATCAGCAGACTTAAGACCAGCTGTCTTATTTATTTTTAGGTTTGTTTGTTTTTTTCACCCAAGTTCATATAACATTTGTGTGTTACACTGGTACATGTGCCTCAGTTGAGTCAAAAGTTCTCATCACTTTCAGTAAACGTAGTTTTGTAACATTAAGAATAGTGTTGTGAAGTGAGTATAGTGGATGGAGACCACAACCACCTCCCCAACTCTGTACGTTGCTGCATGTGTTTCTTCCTGCTTAAGCAGACTGGGCGGGTTATCATTGATAATATGAAGTTTGTAACTGTTCTTTGACAATAATGTTGATTCTAATCTTCTGAATTGGCTCCTTTATCCTTATGCATCTCTGAAATGTTGCAAACACAACACTTTCTGTATTTCTTATCCTACACACATGTTTCCTAGGACAGTATATTTACTTATATTAACATAAATTAAATCCTGAAGAGGTTAAAGAGGTTTCCGACGATGAAGCAAGGTGGACAGCTGGCAGCAGAAACCCTTTTGTGGACGAGAAGGTGGCCAGCAATGAATGATGCAGGGCCTCTCTGGAGGTTAGACAGGGGACCAGTAGATACAGAGCTCCACTAGCAGACTGGAAGATAGCCAGTTTCAGGGGTGACTAGCTCATGCAAAAGAGGCAGTAACCAAGAAGGTAGGCTCAGGCAGAGGAACAGACGTCTCTGGGGAGTGCTTGACATTGGTTGACTCAGGAGCTGATTGGTGCCTTGACAACAGGTCCTCT